CTCACAAGTGCAAGGTCCTGAGTTTGATTCCCCCCTGGCCCCCCCATTTTTTAATTAAAAAAAATTGCCAGGCGCACACCAAATTGCTCACACTGCGCTCAACTTGCAATCCTCCTGCCTCAGCCACCCCAGAGCGGTGGGATCATAGGCCTGTGCAGCTGTGCCCAGCTCAAAATATTTATTGTTTATCCTGATCACTGACTTGAGTGTCTTAGCATCTACACTCAGGCCAGGCACTTCAGTCGCTTTGCCCTGCCTACCTCGGCTGAAGCAGTGCTTCCCCAGTGACCACCATGTAGATCACTAGCAGAAGCAGCAGAGGTGAAGTCAGACTGGCACAGCCATGACTCACTGTGGCCATGGCTTCACCAGTGCCAATCTTCCAGACTACAGCAGCTCAAAGACTACCGTAGTTACCAGATAAATGGAAATTACAAACTGAAAATAAAATACTTAATAAAACTACAGTAAACCACGCTACAATATAGCTGTTTTCTTCACATATTGAATTTATGGATTAAGAAGAAAAAGATTACCAGCTTCCTCCACGGAATACATCTCCCGCCAAAACATCCTATGTTTGTAGTCATCTTTTGGTGCATACAAGTACGTATTTAACTCCCATTTTTGGAGCCTTAAAGGGAAAGAAAATTACTTATATATAAAAAGGCAACATTGACAGGTTATAAATCTCAATTTTCTTCCTCTTTTTGGACCATCTCCATTTCACGTAAGACTAGTAATATTCTAGAACAGTAGCTTTTAAACCAGTAATCAGTGGAAGAAAATTGAAGTATTACGAGGAATATCAACATACTGGTATGGAATAAAAGCACAACTCTGGGTATGACAGGTGAAACCCAAAATCTACTCAAGCTCCCCCAGGAAAAGTCTGAAAACCACTGGCTTAGGAGGGGACCAGGCAAGGGCCAAAGTAAAATAAGTTCTGTAACTGAGAAACCATCAACAGGGATATTTAGTGTATTTCTCTAAAAGGAAACGTTATGACTTTTAGCATGCTTCATATAATAAAAATTTACCTTCTAAAAAGTTCTTTTCTCTGTTCCATAACCCAGGGTCTTCCATAAAATCCTAGATTTCAAATAAGAATGAAATTAACTTCTTTCCAGTTTCAAAGTGTGGTAAGCTTTATTGACATTACTAAATAAAAAACATAATCCCATTAAAAAAAAAAGGGTACAACACACCAGACCTAAACAATAGTTTTTTAAAATAATCTATGGTTATAATCTATAATCTAGGTTATAAATTATAATCTATAACCTATAATCTAGGTTTTTTATAATCTATGGGTAGAGAAATTATAGGCAACTTTTATTCTCTTTTTCCTCAGGTAACTTTTATTTTTCTACCATGACATTTATTACTTAAGTCAAAGTTATATAAAAACAGGTGAGCTTAGCTCTTTACTGTGAAATAGATCTTTTTCTTCCCCAGTTCTAAGGATGAACCTAGGGCCCTGAGTGTATAGACAAGGGCTCTGCCACTCTCTAAAAAGAGAATCTCAATCTGACCAAGATGAAAAAAGGAATTCAAACTGGTAATAACAACTGCTACCTATCAGGGGGACGGAATTAAGTTGCTTCTGGGGGATGAGGTGAGAGAAACAAGGTAGTAAAATCAGGCACAGGATTAGAAAATGACTGCCTTAATTTTATGATCTTTTTTTTCAGTACTGGGGAATGCTAGGCAATAGCCCTATCACTTAGCTACATCCTCAGCCTTTTTAAAAACTTTATTTAAAAGAAAAACAAACTTTATCTAGGCTGCTCTCCAACTTTCTATCCTGTCTCAGGCTCCTGAGTAGCTGGAATTACAGTTCTGGGCCACCTTACTCAGCAAGGACTACCTTTGTAAAAAGCTCCGGTTACAGGTAAGCATGGTGTCCTGCACCTGTAATCCCAGCACTTGGCAGGCTGAGACAGGAGGACCACCACTGAGTTTGAGGCCAGCCTGGGTTATGTGTTAGTTCAACTCCAGCCTGAACTACATGTGAGACTGTCTCAAAAAGAAAACAAAAGCTCCCAATAAAACTAAGGGACAAAAACAGAAAGGCCTGAGACCACCTTCACAACAGATTCACCAGTGAAACTGGCCTAAATAACAAGCTTAAAAGCCATCCTAATCCCAGAGCAAAGAATGGAACTGAAAATGTAAGAAAATGATGACATGCTCCAGAGTGTCCCCTGTCAAAAATAAACTTGCAGACTGGTGATCTAAGTTGTATAGACACCAAACTGGGATTTGAAGCTCCCTAAGTGTGCTCATCAGCAACCCTACCAAACACCCCTTACAGCTTGTCTACCCTTCACTTTTCTGCCTCAGTCTAATCAACGTCAATAGATAAGGGACAATCTCTTGGGTGCCACAAACACTGCCAACAAAAGCATCCTGAACATGAAACTGCTTCCTCCTCTAGAGCCCTGTCCCCAGGCCAAATCATAACTCTTCACCACAGAATAACACAGCCCAAAGAACAGTTCCTTACACACCAGCGTGCCACCCTGTAACACTCTCGGTCTGGACAATTCAGTATTACCCACTTACAGATAATGTTCCTTCATTTATTTAGTTGTACTGTCGTGAGTATGAAAGCCAAGGGTGCTCTACCACAGAGCCACATCCCTAGCTATTTTTTATTTTGAGACAGGGCCTTGCTATGTTGCTCAGGCAGAACTTGTACTTGGGATCCTCTGCCTCACGTTCCCTTAGTGCTGACTGCAAAAGTGCATCCCCAGGCCATGCTTTAAAATATTGATAGTAAAACTCACACCGTTTTTTTCTCCTAGAAGAGCACGCTTTACATCCCTTTAGAAGCACTCCAACATATAGTTTTCCAACTTGAACATTTTAACCTTCAGAAACTGTAAGTTTGCCCTCCGATACTCCATTTGTTTGATTTGCATCACAAAGAGGAAGCAGAGTTGCTAATGCTTGAGTTAAAACCAACAAAGGTTTGTGAGGACAGAAACACAAAAAGGAGTCCCGGCAGTTAACTACAGCACTTCCTGTCCTCCATTTTGGGAATGGTGCCAACCAAGAAGCACTACTAAATCAGTGTATCTCTGCTGGATCAGGTGCTCGGTTACTAAGGAAATACACAAGGGAACGGGGAAAGGAGAACAGACGAACGGAGGACAACTCCTCAACATAGTAAGTTATCTTTTAACACTACTCAAAATAAGCCAACTTAAACCACAATAACCTTTGTCTTTTAATTACTGAAGGTATAATGGTCTGGCAAGTTTCCTTAAATTCACTCCAGTCTAGCTCTGAATTTCTATATTCTTCAGCACCTCTTCCTCACCCATCACCCCTCCCATCTCAGATAAAATATTTTCCTTGCACACTAACAAGCTCAATAAATACATCAAGGCAATCGTCTTTTCATACTCCACAAGTCTTCCCCTACATCCTGCAAGGTAATTTTGCAGAACCGTTTCACACCTTACTGCGGCTGCACAGTATGTCCTCCCACAAATTAAGGTATAATCTATCTTCCAAAACAATCTATACGGTGCCAAACCAGAAACGGTGACTCTCAACCGACAGAGACCCTTCCTTTCCCTTTCAGTGCTTTTTCGGTTTTGTACAAAGACTGATTTTTAATTCTTATCCACACCACTGCATGATAAGAAGGAACTAGACAACTAGAAAACCCCAGACAAGCCAGTACTGCACTTCAGAAAATTCAAATAAATCTTGCATTACTCAAGGAACGAACACTGCTGATAGGTGGTTCCACAGAACGCTGGGCGGGGTTATCTGTCCACGCTCACCCAGAAACTGAGAATCTTCCGGTAATTTTCCTTCACTGGCAAACGTCCATCGCACTTTTAATCGAAAATGGGAAGGAGAAGAGTATTTCTACGCTTCTTCTGTAGCCACCAAATTCAAATCCCATACCCTGATGCTTCCAAAATTAGTCAAAACCACACCCCCCAAAAAACACTAGTACGGTACAGTAGACGAGAAAAACCACAACGTTCTAGGTTGCAAATGATTCCTCAAAGGGGTAGAGAAATTTACTGGCCAGTAAAAAATTTCCCAGCACGGGCTGGGGATTTAGCTCAGTGGTTCTGCCGCGTGGCTCGAAAGCGCAAGGTCCCAAGTTCAATCCCCAGTACGGGAAAAAAAAAAAAAATTTCTAAGCAGGTATAAATTTCTTATACTACAGGCCTACTGTTTTTCTTCGGGAGTATGTGTGGGTTGATTTTCTTTTCCTTAATAAAGAGTGGGGTCAGGAACACTATACACTTTTCTTCTGGCTAATGAGAATTGAACCCACGGCCTTCACCCTGAGCTACATCCTCAGCCCTTTTTAAATTGTGACACAAGGTCTTGCTAAATTGCAGACTGGGCTAGAACTTGTGATCCTCCAGCCTCAGCCTCCCAGAGTGCTGGGATCACAGGCGTGCACCACCAGGTCTGGCTTATTTCTTCTCTCGACAGCAGGCAACCCTAGATAGGATCCCAGGTACAAAGCACTGTAACTCAGAGCTAAACAAATAGCAGGCTCCTTACGACGGCCTCCTCCGAAGTCGGCCTAGCTCCAAAACCAGGCCGGGAGCGAACAGAAGGCTCGTTAGCGGCCGTAGGATACGCGTCGCCCGGGCAGAGCCTAGTTGCAGACCGGAGGGTAACCGCGCCGGGCGGGAGGGCCGGCGGGCGGGGCTCGCTCACCTTCTACCACGCCGCACAGGAACCTCCGAGCTCCCCCCGCAGCTCCGGCCGCCGTCGCTCCCCCGGTCCCGGCGGGGTGATCGTCTCCCGGGCCCGGCGCCGCCTGCGGCTCCAACCCCGCCCCCGCAGAGGCGGCGGGGCTGGGGCCGAGGTCCGCGTCCCGCTCCTCCAGCGCCGCCTGGCCTTCCTTCTGCACCATCCTCCCGCCGGCGGCCCCCGCCTCCTCTGCGGCCTCGGCGGGCGTCGCGGGCCGCGCTCGGCCGGCGCCCCTCCCCCGCGGCGCGAGTGCCCGGATGCGAAGGGCGGCGGCGCGCCTTTGTCAGCGCGGCCTGGGCTGTGGCGTCGGGGGCCGAGCGGAGAGCGAGCCCCGGCTTCTCGTTCCTGGAAGCCGACGTCAAGCCCCTCTCTCGCGCCCAGCGACTGCTGTCTTTCCAGCAACTGCAGTCCTCTCGTCGCACGCCCAAAGCCGACGATCCCCTCTCCGCCGCCTCCGCCGCCCGCTTCCTGTTTATCCACACTGCGCCTGCGCCGCAGACCGGATCAGACCGGTCCTCGGCCCGCGCCCCTCCCCCTCGGGCCGGCCCAGCGTGCCTGCCCGGCGGGGGTAAATGGAGTGGAGCGAGGGCGGAAAGCGCGCGGAACGGAGGTAGTGGACCGTACCACCTAGATTTGCCCCCCTCCCGAGAGGGTCCACACCCTGGGACGGGCCACTGCCCCTCCCCCGAAGAAGGGGGTGCGGGAGGAGGCTGCAGCCTGCGGGAGCCGCCGGGAGAAGCTGAGGGGCGCGGAGGAGAGGTGTTTACTGTGCCACCGCGCAGGCGCGGAAACAGGACCTCGCGCTCTTAAAGAGGTAGGAGCTGACCTACTTTCTACGGAGATTCTTCCTGTAGTTTAGCTGTTCGTCTCTGCTGCACCCAAGCTCGGTTCTAGAAGGACACTTCCGACGAACTCAGCCAAGCTCTGAACCTTGGATCGTTTCCCCATACCCTGAACCCACTTATTCGTTCATTCCTTCTGCAGACCCCTCTGAGCTTGCCTCATCCTGGACCCTGGCGCCACTATGAGCTCACAGTGTGGTGGGCAGAGATGATTGATTTATTTACTGCGGTACTGGGCAGCTGTGATGAGTCAAACTACAGCAAGAATCTCCACTAAGCTACATCCTTAGCCCTTTTTAATTTTTTTTATTTGGGCTAGGGTCAGTTGACCAGGCTGGGCTCAGATTTGCGATCCTCCTGCCTCAGCCTCCCAGAATGCTCCCAGGATGTTCCCTCATCCCACACTTGGCTACACGCAGAATTCTTGCATGGTGTGCCCATGTGTTTCGGGAAGTCAGAGGAGGTAACAACCAACTCCTATTTATTTATTTTTGGTATCGGGCATCAAACTTGGGACCTTTCGCTTGTGAGTGAGGCGGTGGAACCACTGAGCTAAAACCTCGGTCCCCAACTCCTGTTTTAAGGACAGGCCCTGCCTGGTCATTGCCTCACTTTTGGTCTGGATTATAAAAATGAGTAGAAGTTAACCAGGCTGAGCAGGACAATCCAGATTAGTGGAACAACAGATTGAAAATGGGGGGTGAAAGGTATGGCTTGTTTGGGAATGGGGAAAGTGCTGTGTGTAAGGAACTCTGAGATTCTTTGCGCCTCAACATAAACTTCATTCCCTCGTTTTTGGCCTTGGCCTCGTTCATTTCCTAGGCCCTAGAAGGACCCCCCGCCCCACAACCTTCTGTATGCTCTGGGAGCTTCTGCAGTCCTGTCATAATGCACTTGACATTTCCGGTGCTTGAGAGATCTGTCTCAACCTGTGAGGACGAAATGTCTCACTTCTATACTTCGATGTGTTATTTAACCTTAGCGGTAGCCCAACCTCTAACTCTTACAGTCCTTTTCAATCCTGGATTATTTCCATGGGAACTAGAAGCAAGAATTTTCTCTATATTGTTCGTTCTTTCTAATACGGAACACTAAATGTGCACATCATTGTAGCTAGCACAGGGACAAACTGACCGTGTCCGTGGCTCCAGTTTTACTGTGTGCTGCTGACCAGGCGTCTTCTTGGACCTGCTGTGATGGCAGCTCCAGGCCACAGCCGGTCTCCTTGGGTACTGTGGTCCCAGGGTGCCTGCAGGCTCTCATTCCAGGTGATTCTCACGCCTAGTCTCCTGACACTTTTCTCTTTGAAAAAGAAAACCTCACACCATGGCAACTGCTAACAAGTCAGCAGCCACAATTTCATCCACTCCACTGTGCACTCAGGTCTGTGATCCAGGTAAGAGCAACCCTCAGTCTCTCTCCTCAAACTTGAAAGATGGTTTTTGCCACCAGTTGCTACACAATTTCTTCCGGTACAACACCTCTACCCCTCCCCACACACAACTCCCTACACCAGGAATCACTAGTGAGTAGCCCCAAGCTATTCAGAATTCAGTTTTGTTGGAGAAACAGACAGTAACAAATTCAGTATATACACAGAAGCACACAGTTTCTAAGTGCTGTGAAGGGGGAGGTACTTCAGATGATCAAATAGTAAATACTAATCTAGATGAGTAATGATAGTTGCTTGGACCGGGAAAGAGCACTGATGGGGAGCTGGTGACCAAATAAACAGAGAGCAAGAGAATAAGATATGAAGACTTAAAATTGGAAGGGCTGGAGATACAATTCAGTGGTAGAGCAGTTGCCTAGCATGCAGAAGGCCCTGGGTTTTGTCCCTAGGGCTAAAAAAAGAAAAAAGGTTTTGTTGTTTTCAATCTGAGCAAGAACAGGCTGGTTAGCTCGGCTGGTTAGAGTGTGGTGCTAACAAGTCTGAGGAAGACGGTAGATGCTGGTGTTACACACCGAGAAGGGAGAAGACAGGAAAGGCATGAACCTCCCTGAACATTCTTAGCATGTTAAACTGGACCAGTACGTATTTACATGCAGGTGTCAAATAGGCAGCTGTTTATATAGGTGTTGGCACTCAGAGGAGGGTGCTGAGGGTGCACTTGGGAGCCTTCCATGGTGTAGAAAGCCATGGGTAACTCTGAGGCAGGAGGATCTCTAATTTGAGCCCAGCCTGTGCAATTTAGAAATTTAGTGATATTCTGTCTCAAAAAAAAGCACTGGGGGGCCGGGGATATAGCTTAGTGGCACTGTGTCTGCCTCGCAAGTGCAAGGTCCTGAGTTTGATCCTAGGTACCAAAAAAAATCACTGGGGATGTACTCAGTGTGAAGGCCCTGGGTTTGGTCCCTGCTCGGGGTATGGGGGGACTGCATATGATTTGGAGAAGAGGCTCCAGTATGAGCTTTGGTGCCCAAGATTTAGACTTCAAGTTAATAGGAGTCTACAAGGGAGGACTGGGGAGTACCTAGAAAGGTAGAAAGGAAACAGTGGGATAGGAAATACTAGAAGGCAGATAAGGGGAGTGTTTTGACTCTTCTTTTTTTTTTTTTGGTACCGGAGATCGAACTCGGGACCTTGCACTTACGAGGCAGGCGCTGAAACCACTGAGCTAAATCCCCGGCCCAGGAGAGTGTTTTGAGAAGGAGCAGATGACAACATGTCAGATCAGACCAGTCGCCCTGACAAAATGATGTGGATACCAGCCTGCTGGCTTTCCTGGACCCCCTGTGCACCCTGGCTCCGGTCACTTCTACCTCACTAGTGATCCTCAGCCTAGCTTCAACTTTCCCTTTATTTATATCTACCCTAAAATGTGAGTCATCTCTAGACCTGATCCAGTTATATCCATCTACTCATCGTGCTTATTCATCCAATAATACAGTCATTTATTGAATGCCCATTACGTGCCAGGCCCCCAGGGATAGGATAGCGAGGAAAAAAACCTAGCCCAGGTACTCAGGGAGCCTTAAGTAATTCACCATGTATCAAACAGAAGTGAACAATTAACCCAGTAAATACACAGTTACAAACAGAGCACCATGAGAGCCTGTCACAGTGTCCCTTCCTCAGACAATGCAGGCACACAGCACCCATCCCTCACACAGATCTCCACAGGCAGCGACCTGGGGGAGCTGGGTCTAGGCTTGATCCCACAACAAACTCACTTGCTGATCTCAAGCAAATTCTTTGGCTCCTCTGAGCCTGTTTCCTTTTGTTATGGATTAGATTTTAAATGTCCCACAACCCTGGTGTGGTGGCACACGCCTGCAATCCCAGCACTCGGGAGGCTGAGACAGGATCTCCATGAGTTCCAGGCCACCTTGGGCTACACTGTGAGTTTAAGGCCTGAACTACATGAGACCCTGTATCAAAAAGAACCACCAAAATAGAATAAAATATCCTCCCAAAGCCGCCTGTGTTTGGAAGGTCACTGGGTACTCGGGCACCACGCTCATGCTCATCTATCTCTATGGGTCAGAGCTGCCTGCTGTTAGGAGGCGGGGCCTGGCCTGCAGAGGTGTCACTGGGCTCTGATCGGAAGGGTCCCTTCTCCTCTTGCTGCTCCCTGGCTGCCATGCAATGAGCAGCTGTCCTCTGCCCCGGTCCTTCCGCCAGGCCCTTCTGCCTGGGAACCAGCTGGCCATGGACTGAAAATGGAAGCCAAAGTAAACCTCTGTTCCTTTAAACTGCAATCATTTTGTTCCAGAGATAATACAGTGACTAAGGCACTCTTCTGTGAAGGGAAGGCAGAAGGAGAGATAGACTAGGTAAGTTGTTTTGTTCTTTCAACATTTATTATATATATGTCACCAAAAGATCACAAAAAGATCACAAAAAAGGAAGCTTTAGTTCACAACACAGGTCTATGAAAATACATTTTTAAGCTCTGCAGTGTACAATATTTGTTTAAAGTTAAAGCAGTAGGGTCAGGGATTTAGCTCAGTGGCACTACACCTGCCTCACAAGCTCAAGGTCCTGAGTCCTATCCCTGGTACAGGAAAAAAAAAAGAGAGAGAAAGAAATAGAGAACAGTAAAGTTAAAGCAGTTAAATACTTGAAACTAATTTCGAAACTTGTGAAATAAAGGCCATACTTTTTTTTTTTTTTTTTTGGTACCGGGGATTGAACTTGGGACCTTGTGCTTGTAAGGCAGGCGGTGGAACCACTGAACTAAATCCCTGGCCCAAGGCCATACATTTTGTTTTGCAGTACTGGGGATTGGACCCACTGAGCTACATCTCCAGCTCTTTTTTTTATTTGTTTTGAGACAGGGCCTTGCTAAGTTGCTCTGGCTGGCCTGGACTTGTGATCCTCCTGCCTCAGCCTCCTGACTAGCTGGGATTACAGGCATGCATCATTGCACTCAGTTGTAAATTAGAAAAAAAAATTTTTTTTTTCAGTAGCAGGGATCAAACTCAGGACCTTGTGCTTATGAGGCAGGGGTGGTGCCACTGCGCTACATCCCCAACCCCTTAGAAATTCTTGATTAGTTTTTAAGACTTGCTTGGCATAGTCTTAGGATACCAAGATCCTGTCCTTCCTTGTCTTCTCTCAGGTTATGGAAGACTTCTGTGGGGGCCTGGGGTTAGGTGGGTTCTTTAATTAAACCATTCTAGAACCTAGACTTGAGCTCCTGCTAAGACACAGCTGACTCAAAATGACAGGCAATTTCTTCAGGACTTAAAAGGCTGCAGGCATGAGTTAAGGATTGTGCAGTATGTGGGGTGGAGGAACAAAACAGCAGAGACAGCAGCAGTGCATAGCCATTGTGTTTTATTGGATCTGGTGTATTTCTTATTTTACAAAATATACAGAGGAGCCAAAAGTACTAATCAGTCAACAGTGTTTAATTTGACAGGGGCTCCCTGGGGACCAATCCCCTCATTATGGCTGAATGAACAAGCAGGCATATTAAGGGGTAGCAGCATGGCAGGGGTGCTGATGAGGTGGGAACTGGGTCGTACGGTCCCTGCTCTCATGGTGTGCCCGGCGGCATCTCTGGGTAAACTGAGTAAAGAGCAGACCCTGGGGAACTGAGGAAGCTGTGCATGAGGTGTGGTACAGCCTAGGTTGGTCAGATTGTAATGAAGGCCCCACATGTAATGATGCTATGCCTGCCTCCTCCTCTCTCCTAAGGTATCCACTAGGAGGGCTGACAGGACTCCAGTTCAGGAACATCCCCGACTCACTCAGGGCCTCCAAGTCTAGAGGACATGGCAAATGAAAACTCAAGTCATAGCCATCAGAACAGGCGATGAGCAGGGACAGTAGGCTGGAACTCTGGCAGCCATCACTCAGGACATCCCCCAGCCACAGTCCCCTGCCATCTCGGCCTCCACACAAAGCCGGGAGGGGAAGAAATTTCAGGGGTAGGCCAGAGAGCTGGATCCCAGGCTCTCTGAGGATACTGAGGTTATGGAAAATTTCTGGGACTTTTTTTTTTGGTACTGGGGATCAAACTCAGGACCTTCTGCTTGCGAGGTGGGTGCGTGGTGCCACTGAGCTACATCCCGGCCCATTTCTGGGACATTTTTAAGATGAGGCCTTCTGAAATGTTTAGAAACATATTCTGATGGCCGGGGGGTAGCGTACTGTGGAACCCAGCAATTACAGTCCAGCTTGCCTGAGCTTGCACTATCTGCCCAGCCTCCGTCTTCTCGACCCCAGCCAACTTGTAGGACCTAATCACTGGCTCAGGCCCAAGCTTCCTCCCTCTGCACTCTTGCCCCCTCACACAGGCTGGTCTGAAAGGTTAGCCAGTGCTGAGGTCAGATGCTTACTCTGAGAAGGGAGTCTCAGGGGAAATACTTAGGAGACCAGGGGTGGGGAAGCACCATAGCAGGAGACATTCCATCTGGTGTCGTGGTCTAGACGGGGGTGGGAAGTGGGCAAACATTCAGTTCCCACAGCAGGGGCACCCTCCACATGGGTGTCAGGCAGCAAGGGGGCGAGGGCTACTGGGAGTTGGGCACAGCCACCAGATGCACTTTGCCCACTGTCTGGCCCCTTTAGTTCCAGGGATGTGGATACTGAAGCCCAGGCTCGTGCATCCCTACAGCCCCAAAGGTAGAGCTCAGATGAGGACAGGCCTGGGAAGAGCAGGGTGAGGGCTGCCTGGGTGAGGGCAGAGCACAGTCCCCTCCACACACACTGACCCCCTTTTCCTGGTGGGCTAGATGACGTTGTCAAAGAGCTGCATGGACCGCATGATGTTCTCGTCCTGTGGCCATTATTCAAGGAAGGCAAATTGGAGAGCAAGGGGGAAAAAAAGCTTATCAGAGGCAGGGAAAACACTGAATCAGAAATGCGGACATTGATGGGCAGGAAGGAGACACCCAGAGAGTCCATGTTCCCCTGGTCATGATGGAACGGGGTTGGGTTGCGGTGAGTTAGGGAAGAGGTACTCTGCCCAAAGGAGCATTTTCCTGCATCACTTACTCAGGCCTCAGGTCCAGGCCAAGGAAGCGTAGAGGGCAGGGGCAGTACCTTTTGACAAGACTCGATGAATTCCTCAATGGTCACCACGCCATCCTTGTTCCTGTCCATCTTCTGCAAGGCATGGCAGGAGAGAGGCAGGCAGAACTCAGGTCAGTGCTTTGCTGGCTCCTGGCCTCTCTCCCTGTACTCCAGTGCCCTCCAGCCTACCCCAAGCCAGGCACCTGGAAGAAACTCTCCACGTGCTCCCTGGGGGCCTCCTCTCGCAGTGCAGGGTATGTGTATTTGCCCATCATGTCGTAGATGGACTTCATGATGTCAAGCATTTCCTGTTAGGCCAAGACAGAAGACCCTTCCTCAGCGCCTCTGGCCCCCAAGAGGGAGGCCCAGGCAGAGCCCACCCCTTGCTGGCCCCTACCCCCAGCTCCCCAGCTCTTCAGCTCCCCTGCACCTCCTTGGTGATACAGCCATCCTTATTTAGGTCGTACAGGTTGAAGGCCCAATTCAGCCGGTCATCTACTGTTCCCCGAAGAATCACTGACAAACCAGCCACAAAGTCCTGGGAAGGAAAGGGCAGGGACCGCGTCTTCACATGCTCATCGCCCAACCCTTCTTTGGGTTTGACCTGGAGCACCAGGAAATAGGGTTCCCTAGCCCACCTCCCCCAGCTCACCTCAAAACTGACTGAGCCATCGTGGTTGGTGTCAAATGCATTGAAGAGAAAGGCGGCATAGGTGCTGGAGTCTGCAGGGGTTCGAGGAAGGATTGGTTTACAGAGAAGGCCAGGGCCCCTCATCACCTCCACACCCCAGCCCTCCAGAGCCCCTCCACTCAGCCTAGACAGGGACAGCTGCTCACCTCCTTGAGGAAAGAACTGGGAGTAAATCTGCTTGAAATTCTCCTCATTTACGATTCCACTGGGACACTCCTGGGAGGGCAGGAGGACACTGAGGGCAAAAACAAAGCCGCCCTTCCCTACTCCCCAAAGCCACAGCCTCCCAGAGAGAGGGAAAACCTTCCTGTTTGAAGCAACTCGCCAGTGGGGTCGGCTAGACGCAATTAGGACCGGAAGCTAAGAGCTAACCGGCCAGTCCCAGGCCCCGCCTGCTCTGCCCCCTTTCCCCAACCTCAGGCCAGAGGAGGTGTTCTGCTCCTCCCTCCAGCTTCGTACCCAGTACCCAGGGGAGGTCGAGGCGTCCTGGCCTCCCGATCCAACCCTTGCCCTGTTCCAGCAGCGTCCACTCACGTTCTTGAAGCCCCGGTACAGGACTTGCAACTCCTTGCGCGTAAACTTGGTTTGCTCCTGCAGCTGTTCCAGACCCTCCGGCCGGTGACACGCGGTGGACAGCTCAAACTCATCCTCCACGCTGTCTGCGGGAGCGTGGGGGACAGCCGAGCCTCAGGCCCGGCCCGCCACCACTCTTCACGATCACGACCCTTTCACCCTCCTCCCCGTCCCAGCTCCGACCACATCGGGGCAAGGCGAGAAGACGCTGGTCAGCTTCGAGGTCGATCCGCCGGAGCCAGGTGTCCGCCTGGGGCTCACCCCGGGCCTGGACGTCTGTCTGGAGGGGGCGCTGCGGCATCTTCGTCGTCCAGGGGAGGAGTGGGACTCGGGGCTGGGGACGGGGCCCGGCTGGAGTCCGGCAGCTCCCACCCGGCCGCCCCGCGCCCACACAAGCCCCGCCCTCGGCCCAGGCAGCGCCCCGCCCCGCCCCCCCTCCGCAGTCACCTGGGTCCAGCGGGCGGGGCCTGTGGGGGCGGAGGGAGGCCGGGGCGGCTAACGCTGCGGGGAGCGAACCGTCACCGGGGGCCCGGCCGCCCGCAGACGCCCGCCCGCCCGCGCGCAGCGAGTCACACCTGCGCACTCACACTAGCGACCCTTCTCCCAGGCTGCCTCCGCGTGGGACCCGGATGATTTACGCGCACGGACGTGCTCAAATCCTATTACAGGACTGGCCTCCTTAGCTCGCAAAATTCACTACAACCCTGGGGCGGGCGAGGCCCACCGAGGAGGCAGCGCCTTGGGGACAAGGCGAGGCACTCGGCCCGCGGCTGCGCAGCTGGGGATCAAGCCGGGGCAGAAAACCCCGGGGTCCTGGCATCGGGAGGAAGGCGGACTGCAGTCACGCTGCTGGGGCACGGGCGACGGGGCGACAGGTGCCCAGAGGCAGGGAGAGACCGGGCCCAACGAGCGGCACGCTGACGTCAGCTCGCCCCACCCACGGAGGCTCGGGCCCCACCCACGGAGGCTCGGGCCCCGCCCACACGCTCGGCTCGGCCCCGCCCCCGGGCCAGGCCGGTCTCGCCTTCGGTCTCGCCGCGCGTGGGCGCGCACACGTCTGCGCGCAGCAGCCAGCGGTGCCCTCCCATCCACGCCAGCCAGCTCCCGCCCAGCGCAGTCATTCGGGCCCGCCCGCCCGCCCGGAAGCACAGCAGAGGCACTTGCTTTCGCTGACTGAGGGCAGCGCTTGGGGCCCGCAGCAGGGCAGCAGCTTGAGGAAGCGCTGCTTCAGCGCCTTTTTAGTGGGCCCCGGAGGGTGGCCTGGGAAGAGAGAAGACCCCGGGAGGGTACGTTAACTTCCAGAGCCCCCGTTCCCGCATCCCCTGCGCCCACCCCCCAGGTTGCGTGGGGTGGGGCAGCCTGGGGGGCTGCTGGGTCTAAAGGCCTGGAGAGGCACAGACAGGGGGTGAAGGACGACGGGTCCGTTGGGGACAGGTCCTGGTACCCTCAGGGCCCGGACTGCCTCAAACTGCAGAAACACTTCTCACAGACAGTGGCAAGCAGGTGAGGTGCCACAGAACAGCCCCGCCACGGGTACGTGTGCTGACCCGTGGAATGATAATCAGATAGGGGCCAGGGGCGGCTTGCTACCCTGTAGCTCACACCTGGTGGCCTGATACACTGCACACACACACTTACCTCGTACTCCTTAACACAAGCACGTGAACGTGGACCAAGGAGAGCATGACACACATGTAGAGACCCACATAACAAGCCGCATCGCTCACAGCATGAGCAAACCACACAAGGACTCACAGTGGCCCTGGGGCACCCTCACACTGTTAAGAGCACCACGACAGCCGGGCATAGTGGTGCCCACCTGTAATCCCAGACTCAGGAGGCTGAGGCAGGAGGATCACCGTGAGTTCGAGGCCAGCCTGGACTACATAGTGAGACCCTGTCTCAAAAAACAAAACCCCCACCGTGATGCACATCAGGGTTACTACGTCAGCCCATGTCACACTGTGCGCTAGGTCCCCAAGGCACCCAGACCTAAGCTTATTCTCACCCAAACAGGCTTCATTGGTCCTGGGCACACTCTTCTTTCCTGTGACCCCTCATTCCAAGGTACCCCGAATCTTCCTCCCAAGGAGCAGGCTCTTCATCAGCTAATTCATCCATACTGCCTTTTCCAGGGCTGGGGATTTAGGTCAGTGGTGCTGCTGCCTACCTCGAAAGCACAAGGTCCTGAGTTCGATCCCCGGTACCAAAAACAAAAAGAAAAACCAAAACCATACTGCCTTTTCCAAATCCTTTCCAGCATGGCTTGCTTTTTGAAGGCAAAATGATAGTGGGCTTTCAGGCAATAACAGACCTTGGAGAGGAATATGTGGGTGGATTGTGGGGCTGTCCACGGCCCACTAATCGTGGCTCCTCTCCCCTCCTCTCCCTCGTTTGGTACGAGTGTCCTACAGCTCTGTTATGCCCTGGGGGCCCTCAGCATAGGGGTGTGTGTGTGTGTCTCCCAGCTGCATGCACCTGCAGATTCCTGGCCCAGAGCGCTAGGCCTGATGCACTGACTGAAGTGGACCTTGGTCCCTTCCTTTGGTTATGTTACTCCTTATCCCAGCCCCCAAGCCACCCTGCCTTCCACCCTGGGAACCAGGCCTTGCTCCCAGGAGGTAACTGCCTGAGGTTACTGCCTCTTCCCCTCCTCACACTCTGCCTCTCCCAGGAGCTGTGGAGAGGGTAGGGAGGCCTGGGCCAGGAGGGGACCATTGATGGAACCATTAGCTGGAACGCTGGTTTCCCGAGGCCAGATTATGCCTGGGGCCTCTGATGGTGCAGTCACTTGGCTGGCAGTGGCTCTTCCTCTTGCCCTGCCCCTAGGTCCTCTGCCTGCTCCCAAGCCTTGGTCTTCCCTAGATCCCATGAGGGTGGGACAGAAAGGGGCTGCCTTCAGACTGCAGGACATTCCCCAGATGGCTGAAGGAGATGTCAAGTTAGAGTCAACTGACTTAATCTTTCCAGGGTGGATAAGGACAAGCTCAGCCGGCCTCCCCGTCTGTGTGGGTCTAACTCTTGGTCTCCAGTGACTATCGAAGAGGTCCGAGGATGTGCTTACTAAGCCTCAGCACAGGCCATTCACGGATCCTCTTCCTCTTACCCCTGCTTCCTTCACATCTTCCAGTTCTGCCAGTGTCTGTCTCACAGTGTGCCCCGTCTCCATGCTTCTTGCCTACCTTGCCTGCCCTGGTGCAGCTGGGGAACAGCCATTGCATGGAGCGGGATAGCTCTTGGGAAGAGGAGGGGAAGCCAAAGCTCTGGATGGAGGCAGAAGCATCTCCTCTCTACCTCCAACTCCCCTTAGACTTTGGGGTCTTCCCAGTTCAAGGAAGAGCACTAAAAATCATTCTGCCCCTGTATCCTGAGAGGAGCCTGGAGTGGCAAAGGGGACTGGGAAGCAGTCCCCAATCTGACTCCTCACTCCCTGGCCAGAGCTAAGCTGTAAACATCATGCTCAGTGTTCCCATCCTGTCCTTCCAGAGCCCACTCCCATCCCGAGTCAGACCCAGAGCTGGGATCTCCTCAGGGAACCACGGGAACAACACGCGCCCAACCAGATACCCAACCAGGCTCGGCCACACCCAAGCCCTCCAACACATTACACACTTGTCCTCTCACACACATGAACACAATTGCGCCCTGTGTCCCAGTCTACGTACACCCTAACCTGCACCTACATACAAGGTGGAGCCACCCACATTTTCAGAGTTGTGGTACTCTGGCCCCAAAAGGATTCCCCAGAAATCTGATACTATCTCAGGATCCCTGGACCTCCCTCTACTCCAGAGGCCTCCCGCCCACCTCCAGCTCCCCCACTGCTCCCAGATTGCCCCCCCCCGACTCTTCTCCACACTCAGGCCACCTACACTGCACCACTCACCACCTCCGGGACATCTGTCCTCCCCTGCCCAGGCTGACTCCTGGGCTCCACGCTCATCCTCCGGATGCCCTGCCCCAAAGGCCGCACATCTCACTCCCCCTCGCACCCCTCTGGCCAGGACCGAGGTGCAGCCCCCTCCCCACCACCAGCAGCTCAGCCCTGCCAGAGGATACCCGGTTACCTTCCAAGGAGACAGGCTCAAAGAGGCCAAACTGCTCCAGGACCTTGACAAACAGAGCGAGGAACACGAGCAGAGCACGGTGAGCATCTCCAGTCCTTCCAGACTCACGGCTGGCGGCAGGGGCACTCGCTGCCCTCGCCCTCAGGCTCCTGGCCACACTGGATGCCACCCCAGCCTCCTGGGCCTGCCTCCTCCAGCGCCTCCCAGCCTCAGCAGAAGCCTCTGGCTCTCCCCGGGGCCACCTCAGCCTGTGACTGGCACCTCCTCTGGGGGCTCTGCCCGCAGGATGTGGGACAGAGCGGGGTGGGCGCGAGCTGCCTCTGCTCCTGAGAGAGCTTCCCACAGGGCCTCTGGCCACGCTGTGTGCGGGCAGTGAAGGGCAGAAACCAGCTTTGCACAGGTAATGAATGTAGGGTCAGAACCTAGCTAGGCAGGGGCACATTCCTGTGTTACTCCTGGGTTTGGGAATACCGGGTTTCTCAGTAAGTCACCTCTCCCGTGTGTCTGTGTGTTCACCTGTGACTGTACTGGTCGCAAGGGTGTACCCTGTGTATGGCTGTGAGATGGGGGTGTCTACGGGTGGTGTGCAAGCACTTCTGGGCGTGTGTGAGGGGAGCTGTGTGTTTCAGCAGGGCTGTGGAACGTGGGTTGAAGTTTGGTAGACGTGGACGTGTTGCACAGCCACTAGGAGCATGGGTTTCCGGTTGTGCAGCTGTCGGCGTGGAATGGGAGAGAGGATCAGAGAGTGGGGAAGGCAGGGACCTTCCTGTCAGAAGGGCACTACCGACATCAATAGTGGCTGCCATGGAGACTGCTGAGCAGGGCGTACTCTGCCCACAGGCCACAGACTGTGAAACTGAGCCCCAAGGGAGGCAGGATTAGGTCCAACAGCCTGGGCAGGGTAAAAGGCCACTCACCCCTTCACGACCCTTTGGGAGCGGGCTGTTTCAGCTATCTTGGGGTTAGGGTTAGAGCTCAGCGCCTTGAAGAAGGACTGTCTCTTCCTCTTCTAGCTGAAGAGCCGCCAAAGCCTTGTCTGCTCCGGGGGAACGCGCCTCCTGGCAGTACCTCCACTCCCCAAGCCCCCTCCACCTCTTGCCCGCTCTTTCCTGGTGGCCGGGGAGTGGAGGGCATGCGAGAGGCCTGCAGAGCCAGTGAGCACAAGACACGGGAGGCAGAGTCGGTGCCCCGTGGCTGTCACTGTGGGCCACGGTGCCTGGGCGCCAAGCGCGGGCCCCTGAGCTCTCGCGCGCCTCTGCAGGCGGGACCGTCACCCCGTCATTACAGGTGGTGAGGCCGCTCTCCATGCCAGAGCCCCCTCTACACCCAGGCGCACCCTGTAAACACTGCACTCCGCCCGCTGGCTCCCGTGGAAACTGCGCAGGAGGACCGGTTTCGGGAGCCTGTGGAGGAGCGGAAGGACTGGAGCAGCGTCGGGCTCCTGCTGGGGCGGGGGCGCCGAGCTCCTAGTCTGCGGCCGCGGTGCCCTGACTGCAGCTTTGCTTGGCCACCACTGGGGGTCAGGCGTCCGCGCACTCCTTGCTTCCCAACTGCCCCAAACCAGGAAAGATGTGTGCTGTGGGGGCCTCCTGCAGGTGTGGGACGAAAGGCACCTGGGCTTGTTCCCTTCCCAAGGTAGGGGAGTTAATTCAAGGTTTTCTTTGGTTTCTCATACCTTAGGGGCTACCGAGTTACAGGTGAAATCTGCAAACACCTCCTGCCTGTCCGAATTCCATCGCTGGGATCTAACAGCCTTCCTTCCCTTATTAAGGATCCCTTTGCTCTAGCCAGTTTGGCTGCTTCATTGTCCCTCAGCCTCACCGAACTCAGTCCTCTCTCGGGGCCTTTGCACTTGCTACACTCGGCCTCAGACGCCCTGCCTTCTGGTCTGCTCCAACCTACAGTGCTTACTTTCCCTCCCTTCAGAGCCTCCAGCCCTCACTGACTGCCAGTTACCTGAGTCCCTGCTGAATTCTGTGCCGAGCCCTCAAAACTCAGCCCCGAACCCCATGTTATCAGTGGGAACAGGAAGCAGGCAGTGCAGCAGGAGAGACAAAGCCTGGCCAAAGCGCCAGACTACCTGGTGCAGACCCCAGCTTTGTGGCAGCACTGCATTCTGGGTCAGGCTGCTGTGGGATCAGACCGGGGCGGGGCTTACCAGAAGTGGCTTTGCAGTGCTGCAGGACTCAGTAA